AAGGAAGGCTGTAATATTTATTCCTTTAAAGCGCTTAGGGGCTAGAATAGATAGAGGTACTATCCTTCCTTATCGCGTAAATACTACGAAGAAGTTAAGTATCTCTCTATAAGTTACTAGGTCGTTATTTTAAGCTCCTATTATACTATTACTAGTAGTAGGTGTACTAGTAGAGACGCTAGGGGTAAGGTTATTAGTTAAGGGATTACCTTAACTAAAGGTTGGCCCAATACGTCTACCCACAACACCTATTATCCCTTCTCTATGTTAACTAATCCCTTTATAAGGTGAACTATTACTATCGTCTTTATCGATATAAGGTTTACGGTATCCTACTTATATTATTATCTTCGTGTAAGGCGTTCCTAAAGTGGTATACTTATGTGGCCATATTTATAAATAACAGCTATGGTAGTACTAAACAGGTTATATTTATCGTTTTTGAACTCTTCTTTACTACTTCATCTAGCCCTATTTTATATCCTATTCCCCTAAGACATTTTCGAGTCGCGCTATCACCCGTGTTAGTATATGCATGCTTTTTACGGCTACTTTTAAGAGGCTAGCCCCTAGCGACTCCGGACTCCCTATTTTCCGGACTCGTAGCTTTGATCTAGTAAGTCTAGACTACCTTATTAGGCACGCTATATACTTCCCCTAAGCTAGTTTCGGAGTCCTAATCTCCCCCTATAAGTTCGTAGTCCGGGTACGACCTCTAAAATTATAGTAAGCTATTGCCACGTGTGTCCCTTTTATAAATGGCTATGTTCCTAGTATAGTAGTCGCGACGAACTCATAAGTATCTCTTCTAGGTATTATGAGTTCTCTTTAAACGCACGACTTCTTATTAGTTCTCTTTTACGATAGGATAGGTCTATATAATACTCTTAATCAATTCTTTAATAGCTAAGCCTAATAATCAATACCTATAGAGGCCCATGAACGTAAGAAAAGGTCGAATAGTCGAATATTAGTGATGGGGGAAGCGCGCCGAGCAGAATGACTAAGGAAAACGCCCTCCTTAAATATACAATGAAGCCATGTAATCGAGCCAGGGACACATACATGTAGGGCTGTAGGAGCGGCCTTCCACACTATCTAATAGGATTTAAAAGTTCTAATATCTATAAACTATATAACCTAGAGTCTAATAAAGTTATCTATGCTAGAGACTATAAAGTATTAGAAGGATACTTTTATACACCTAATAATTATAAGAATATTTAAGAAATATACTCTAATATAGATAACTTTAAGAACTCTAGTAGAATAGAGAAGTCTAGTTCTACTTCTACTTCTACTTCTACTTCTACTTCTACTTCTACTTCTACTTCTACTTCTACTCTAAATAATACTTCTATAATTATAGAAGATTTAGAGAAAGAAGAATTAGAATATATAAATAATACTAGCTATAAAGATATATATAATAGTCTAGTATATTATAATATTCTAAATACGTCTATTATAGAACCAAAGTCTTATAAAGAGGTATTATTACACCCTAATAAGAACCTCTACTTAGAAGCTATGAAAGTAGAGGTAGATACTCTTATTAAAAATAATACCT